ATTCTTGTTCTTCTGCTCTCTTCAGATTAACGGAAAGGCAGTGGAGCAGGTGGAGATATTCAAGGACCTCGGAGTCGTATTTACTAGTGACGGAAAATTTGAGATCGATCCGCGAACTGAACTAGTCGGCGCTGCCGTTCTGCGCGAATAAGTCCGAACTACTGTGACGAAAGCGGAGCTGAGTCTGACGACTAAGCTCTCGATGTAAAGTCGATCTTAATGATCATCTACCGTAATAAATAGTGGGCCATGACTTAAAAGCGGCTAAAATAAGCTTCCTGAGACAAATAGATGGGTTCACGGGTCTCGACACGGTTTGGACCAGGGATTTCTGAGAAAAGCCTGGTGTACCGCTGCTTCTCCAAACTGAGACGTAACAACTGCGATGGTTTAGGCACGTTTAGAGAATGCTTCTTAGAAAGAGGTTAGAGCTACTATTTGGTCAACCAACTAGCATAAAACCCAGGTATCAGCGAAGAATGACCTGAGGCAAGAGTCTTGATGTACTCTGCTCTACGTTTGGGTTCTCTTCTGCTGAGGTTCAAATGCCAGCACAAGGTCGAGAACGTCTGAGACACTGACTGATGCTTTTGCCGCCATGACCGGACCAGACAAACAGATCGACCACCGACTGGCTGACTCATTCACGCACTGATAGAATCTTTCATCTGATTAGATAATTCTTGTATTTATACGCATAACACACAGTGATGTGTTAATATATTTGTTACTTATAATGTATATGAAAATTATCATTAATGTTATTATCATTAATTATTACAGTTACTAACATATACTACTGCTACGTTAGTTGGTACAACTTGCCTCAATGATAAAAGCGTACCTTTTCTTCGCACTTTAAAATCTGCTTTACTACAACACGATCGGCCAATAGTAGTACCCTAGTAACGCTAGATAACAGCTGTCGAGCAGCACGGACCAGAAAATTCCGGTCGACCATGCTGCTGCCATTCGCCGCTGGCTCACCGGACGATTTGGACGCCAGAGCTGCTATTGCAGATCCTGAAAAACTTACGTTTACAAATTTTAATTATCAATCAATATAATTACACATTAAAACACCTGTGTGGGACAGGCTAATGCTACGAAAGATTTATTCGACAACAGTTGTCAATGTTTCAGGCACACAACAACGGCCTTCTTCGGGACAGAAAACTAGCAACGAATTTATTAGATATGTTTTAACGGTTTGGTAACGCTAGCCTTTGTCTTCTGCCCAAAATCGTTGAATCCGAAACTAGGCAAATTTAAGACCGTGGCATAGAATCAACATGAAATTTCCAAATCATTGCTATATTTTCATTCAAAACAATAGGTGCTGACTCAGATACTTCATATAAGCTTAAATAAATGCATTCCCAACTGCATCCAGAAATCCACATATTTCTTGCATTTTCTGCTGTTTGTCAATAGACCATCGAAAGAAAAAACTGCAGTTGGTGCAATCGCTGACACGTGAATGGGTGCCATATGAGGCAAACTTACTGTATCACCAGTAAAGAGAGCCTGACTGTTTTGTTTTCAAAGCTATATCTACAGGTGGAAAAATACTGTTGAGTATGGTCCCACGATGTGGACTCATAATATGAGAAATCCAAACTACCAAAGAGGGCTGAATATTACTGTGACATCCTCAGACCTGGAGAAATCTTTTCACCAAAGAGCACGGCAGAAAATATAGTGAAGCCTGAGAAAGAATCTGATGCCAGAAAAGTTTACCAGTTTGCCAGTATATCAAGTTTACCAAAGATATGTATGATAATGACAGTTTCGATGAAATGGAAGAGTTTACGCAAATGACACTGAGCTGAGCAGCGGAAGCAAGGGAGGAGTAAAAGCAAACAAACTGAGGCATGGAGAACAGTCCTTGAGAAGAACAGCCTTCGACTCAGTAAAGGCAAGTCAGAATATACTGCGGGCTATTTCAGTGGGGAAAACAAGTTAAACGCTGTCAAACCAGTGAAAGTAGCGGGAGCGTGCTGCTTCAAACCAAAGAACTCAACAAAGAAGAAATTCAACTATTCATGTTTCCTTCTTGTAAGATAATACGGAAATCTACATCGGGATTAGATGTCGATCGGAAAAGCTTTGTTCAAATGGAGAGATGTGAGGGGAGTACTGTGTGACTAGAAGATGCCCATCAAACAGTAGCATGACCGGTGGTTCCGTACGAAACGATATTTGGCTACAATGAAGAGACACAAGCAACAGCTGAACACGGTAGAGTTGCGAATGATCAGATAGATGTGGAGTGCCAACAAAAAGGATCATATCCGAAACATAGACGCACTTTAGGTGTAGCACCAAATTCGAAAAAGACACGTTTCATTGATTTGGGCCACGTGATAAGAAGATCCAACAAGTACTGTGGGTATGCGGTTCACTGGCACAGAAGAAAACAAGGAAGAACAAAGAGGTATCGCGTAAACGAAGTATACAAACGGCTAAGAGCGACCGAAGACCGGACGAAAGACCGATGTGAAGGCAGATGACTGGAATAACGGGTGGTTATTAAAAAGGGAACACGTTAGGAAAGAGAAAAATGAAAAACGGAACCGATTTATCTACTTTGGAATTACGGAAGGTGAAAAGTGACAAAAGACTAGAACCCACGGATTTTCACTATTAGTTCGATGCTATATATCGACTAAGCCGCTGTCGGAATACACAGCAGTGCGTTAATATGCAAAAGTTTATCCAATAAATCAGCTTAAAGGCATTTTAGTCATTTGTTAGTGCAGCAGAATTGCAGACATTACTACAGTACCTGCCACACGGGCATCTTGGCAGGCGTCGTACATTTCAGGCTGGATTTCGGGATGCTCATCGGCGATACTTTCGCCGACAGTGACAAACCTCTCGACAGCAGCTTGAACGAAGAACCCCACCTAAAAGCATAGTCACATTAAAATGGTTTTGCTATAGAAAAATTTTGGGCATAAAAAACTTCAAATTTATAATATCCGTTGAAATAGACTGTGGATTCAGGAAACGTAAACGTCAGATTTTCGAATGGTAAATAATTTAAGGTTAACAGAAACGAATTAACGAACATTCAAAAGGCTTCTGCCCCTCCTGGAAGGTAAGAAATGCGAATTTTTTAGCAGATTTTGATTCAGTTGTTCCAATATAATAAGTATACAACGATTTGTTAGTACTTGACTGTACTGGTGATGATAAAGCGGAGTGAAGACCCTGAAAGGGACAAAATGCCCGTGAAAACTCAAGAATCAATTTTCCACCGCTCGAAATCATAAGTAAACTTCTCTGACATAATCAGCTCTCTCCCCTGTTAATTTCACGTCATCGCACACTGTGAATCCACTGTGAAATAATAATAAAGTACTGCCGAAAACATCATCACTATTTTAATAAGGCTTGGGCATATGAAGTTTTGCTGTAAAATGACTCCGCAGGTAACCTAGCAGTATCCTGAAAGCCTGTACAACAGGATCTGAAGTGAGGTAACAAATCAATGTGAGGAAGACAAAGATTATAAGGGCTTTTACTGCAAAGAACAACCGAAAATATTAGGTAATGATATGCCGCAACAGGAAGTCGACCATCTCAAGAACGGTGCACGTTTAAGCTAACGACTGTGACACTTACTTAGAACTGAACGGATACACAACTGACATAGCGAATTCAGCTAACTTTGGAAAGTGTGGATAAGTGGCACTTAGCCAAAGAACAGGAATGCCGCTCAAGACAACAGAAATGCATCGCAGTCCCTGCATAGTTTGAACCAGTCTAATACCGAGTGGACCATTGACTTATGTACAATACATTGAAATCTGACATGGCATTCTGTAATAAAACGAAATCAAGATTTAGACTTCTCCCATTCCTTGAAAATCTGAGAAAAAAGAGGAGAAAATGAAAATGAATAAAATCTTGACATCACTCAGGCCAATTTTAACTTAGCTAACTTTAAATTCTCTCTCCATAGAATCTTCAAATAAATGCTTGACTACAGTCTGCCTTGAAAACCTCAATTATTGCTTATATCGAGCCGAACGGATATGCATCTAAGTCCTGTACGGCACTAATGTTGAAATCAGACAGAAACGATAGAACAGAAAGACAAAAATCTATCTTGCAGCAGCGCGTAACTTCAACGAACTAAGATACAACAAGTAAAATGCTCCTACCGTTTCCTTACTATTCTATTTATCTTGATCTATATACACTTCATTCTTACTTATCATGATACTGTCTAGAAGGATTTTGACAAGGGTCAACGGGACTGTCTATCAGCAATGGGATCTATGCTAGTATGCAAGAAGAGAGCTCAAACGGCGCCAAAAGTATTCATAATCCCTGTAAAATTAAGAAAATAGTAAGGTCATTCTGCTACGTCCATGTAAGAGAGTTAGTGAAGAAAACCATGGCAATCTCCTAAAGAATGTTCGCTTCGTTAACATGAAACGCGAACACCGGTGTTTTGCAAACCTCTGGTGCACGGCCTTCAAGAATGAGAGTGGCTTTCGAGGAAGATGATAACCACGATCTGCTACAGATCAATTCTCTGTACACACAAATCATCGAATAACTCCTTTAAGATACATATCATGTTTATATGATATAAAAACAGAGTGGAGCCTCATTAACTGCCTCAAAGTCGAATCAAATTTTAATTCCTCCTATTCGGTCAGACAACAACTGATGTAAGCAGTTGTGAATTGCATTGTCTATTGCCTGATTACGACAAATTCCGGTTCGACTGATCGGATGCTCAGTTTCCATGTATATTCATATATGTTTAGTCATGTCAACGTATAGCTTTTTGTGTACGGCCATCATCTAAGCTGATGACACGATTCTGGAGGCGCTCCTCTTCTGACAATTTTACAAAAGCAGCTTCTTGCAGCATCTGCAACAAATTCTTCTTGATCTGCACTTGTATTAGACTGACCTTCAAATTCAAGGAGATGCCAAAAGAAAATAAATTCCCATCTTTCATCGGAGTCATTTCATTAAAATAGCTCATTCCTAATCATCTCAAGTTTCGGATCTGATCATGTGATTGCAGTTGAGAAAAAAATTAATTAAAATGCACAAAAATCAATCATCTACTCGATTACATGACAAATGGCATTCCTTTTCACATGAATAATATGACAGCTCGTCTTTACAACCTGGCTTGATCGTTCAAGTGGGGGAAGAATGCTATTATCTCCTCTTTTGTCATATGACCTATACGCATCTTTATTCGTTCCCTGTCATTTCTTTGGCGTAGTACAGTGTCACTTACCTCCCCAAGGGCCGTTTAATCCAGCCGTTTTTGTTCGACCAAACATGTGATATTGTTTTGTGCCAATGCACTGCAGGAACTAAAATATGATGAAGCCGTTGCCTATTTTAATGGTTTTCCTAGGCTACTAGAAGCAAGAGGACGGCGCGACTAGTAGCTGCAGGAGAATCTGGCAGTATTGAAAACTAGCAGTTTGCTAGCAAACCCATAATACCCGGGTTTCTTTCGGTTTTATTCCTCTTACCCGTGGGCCTCCACTCTCTGAACAGAAAAAAGTTCAAAAAAATCTTCCGTTGGAATTAACACGTTGTTGTCAATCTTTCCGCCTAAAATCATCCTTTGTTACACCGTTAATTAAATACATAAGCAAGAACTAGTTGTGATAAGAATACACATCATTCTCTGTTCAGAAGGATGTTATGACAAGATGTAAAATTCTGAGAAGTTCCTGTTTTTATTTAATACAGATTTCTAAGACCTCGATTATTCAGATGACAGAATTTTTCTGTTTCTCTTTTCCGGCTTTTACTGATCATCTATCTTTCCAATGTTCAGTTCGTCTAATCCATGAGTCATCCTTCATTTTCAGAGAGTAGACGAGTTGAAAAAATTTCGCCTTAACTTCTTCAGAAATTAATGTATTAATTTTTCCATCAGACTGCTTCAAAAGACATACAGAACTGCGCCAATTCAAATCGTTCAGTGCATCGTTAACCGATGACTTCAGAGTTTATATAAACCTTCATAAATACCGCAGCGATTCAGATACGTACTCTCAACCGTACTTTGCGTTCTGTCATGCGATTGTCAAGCGTATTTTGGTCACCGTCCGCTTTCTATCTACGGGTAAGGAAGGTGAATGACGAAGAGCACTGGCATCGAGCCATAGGAAAGGCTAATATTAACAGAACTCTTGTAAAGACTGACGAACCAAATTCCATCCGCCCGCAACCGTTCAGAAACTCGTATAGACAGAAACTCACTGAGAAATTACCGACGGCCACATAATATAATCGATTTAATCCGGTCATCACAAATGGCGATCCATCTAGACGACGCCGTCCTACTTTTTGCGTGTCAATTAGAGGAACATGCTGCGAAAATCTAGAAGGTTCATTTGTGACTTCTGAAAAAGTGCTCACTTGAAATTCGCATGTTTCAGACAATCACCAGCAGATGATTAATTATTTACATGTGGCTTATTAAAATTAACTACATTTTAAAATAAATCCGAAGCGTGTCGCTCTTCGTCCAAACCCAGCCAGTATGCACTGCTGGCCCATTCACCCTTCTTCTGCAACATATTCTAGTGCACTTTAGCTCCATCACTTCTGCGGTTCTTATGATTCAATTCCACATAATTCTGATCATATGGCGGATTGAAACGGCTGCCAAACTTACTGTACTCGTACCATCTGCCACAGTGGTATAACTAACTGGTTGAGAGTTTTTGCAGCTGGTATCAATCTGTTGACATAGACACTAAAAATGTAAGCGAAAGCAGAACCAAGTTGATTTTAGACGATTACTCTCTAAAACGGACAATCTCTTCACCCTGCCCTGCATCCAGACTATCTCTAATTCGCGACTGCATGTACATCCGTCTTCCCAGCGGATACCATCACAGCGTATAACATCAAAGTAGAATCTGAGAAATCATTTTCGATATTCGTTGCCTACAATATATCTTATCTATATCATGTACAATGCAGAAAAAAGTACTGACGAACATAGCAAACTGTTCTTAATCGGACTTAACTTCAAGCACTAAATGGCTGTCGAAAACATTTGCTATCCGTTATGCTGTTAAATATGGTACTCTGATATCTACTAAAACGTGTATCCTAAATATAGTTTTCAGCAATGCATCGAACGCAGATATAGAATATATAGAGAAAGATTTCACAGAATTAGAATGCCAGCAATATCAGTTATCCTTGAGAACGTTACAACCAACAGCCTGCAGAACACGCTAAAGATTTTATGGCAGACAAAAAGCTGTATTAAAATTAACGTTCAAAAAGCGACTGCAACTGAAAATCTTCCATAAATAAAAAAGAAAAAAGTCCATTCAACAAGATCACAAAAAAAGCACTGGAAGCCAACTTGAGTCATTCGTATAGGTTTCTTTCAGTCAATTTATTTCGCTATTCATTCGATTAACTGTAACAGTACTCAGAATTCGAAAATAATCCAACTGCGGCGCTAAACAAGTTTAGTACAAAAAACGACCGCAGGCTCACCGGATGCAAGATGCGCCGGAACTCAGAGCTTCAGAAACAAAGGCTAAACTGATTAGGAAAAAAGGAGGCAACAGACGTAGAAACGCTTAAGAGAAATTTTCCCTCAGTTCCTACTCAAATGAAATAATCGATTCAGCGTTCTCAACGATATGCTCGAAAAGAAAAAGAAGTTAGGAAAAAGTTAACATCAACTTAATATATAAAGAACAACGAACGAATTTACAGAAACTGCGAAAAATATCTGTGTGGGACAAAAACAATGAACGCTAACCATAAAATCACGAAGCAAATGAATGAATTTATGAAGAAACAGAGGCAGCAACAAATCCAAAATCAACAATCGAACAGGTAGAACTTAGAAAAACTTTAAGAAAACGCATAAAAGGAGACG